GGGGAGCTAGACCCAGGGGCCCCTGCGGGCTGGGCGACCCCCCTGCGGGCTGGGTCCCCCCCTGCGGGCTGGGCGGCCCTGAGCCAGCGCGTGCCTTCTCTGAGCACCGGGTCCTCCATCTGCAGAGAAAACGGCTCCCGCTCGTCCCGGGCTCCACGCGGCGATGCCTGCGGAGGCTCCGCTGGGAACGGTGGGTGTTGCCAGCACAGCCTGGGTGACCGTTCAAGGCGGGTGTGTACGTTCTGGGGACGCCCGTAGAAACGTGTGGTTACTGGTGTCTTAAGTCAACGTGCAAAGTGGACATAAGCCAGGAAGCACGGAGTTTGAAATAAATGGAGGTGGCAGCGTCTGCTGAGCGCTGACGCCGGAACCACCTGAGAAACATCGGTCACAATTTCTGCCAACTCGGGGTGGGCTTGAGGCTCTGGGGACCCTGGAAACATCTGGAATCTTCGCAGGGGGCAGGACAGGGTCTGGGTTGCACAGACATGGCATCAGCGTGAGGAACGGAAGCCATCAGCAGGGGAAGCTTCTGGGCCCCGTGGGAAAGACAGGAGATAACACGGGGCCCCGAGTGTGACGTCATCCGCTGGCGCTCCCACATCCCGCCAGCAGGCTGACTTACCCCGCGGGGCGCCCGCTACAAGTGCACGATCCTCGGGTAACTCCAGCCCAACGGCTTGGCTGATCCCCGAAACTTGCCTGGTCGAACCACAGTGACCACTGTTGTCTGAATCTGTAGCATGAACTCACAGGAGCTAATTTCACACCTGAAAATTCGGCGCATTTTTTATTCTTTTTTACATTTCGTTGGTTTTTAGGGAGCGAGAAGGGGAGAGGGAGAGAGAGAAACATCGAAGTGAGGGTGCGACATTGATCGGGTGCCTCCTCCGGGCCCCCTACCGGGATCGAGGCTGCAGCCCAGGCCTGTGCCCAGGAGGGCGACTGCAGGTAACAGCACCGCGCTGTAAAGAAAGGAGGTCCTTTTTTCTTTTTTTATTATTATTTTACTTTAAATGTTTTAATGACAGGCGACATTCAGCATTATTTTAGATATGGCGCCATATACAGTTATTACACTATCATCGGCCACATTCCCTCTGCTGTAGTCGCCGTCCCTGGGACCAGTCAGTGCCCATCTGCGCTTCCTAATCCCGCCCCTTCGCAGCCTGCCCGCTCCCGCCCATCCGGCCGCCCTCAGCTTGTTCTGTGTCTGAGTCTGTGTCTTTGTGCCCGTGTTTTATGCCTTAGAGGCCCCACAGCAGTGACATCGTCCGGTACTTGCTTTTCTCTGTCGGGCTTATTTCACTGAGCAGGATGCCCTAGGCCCACCCAAGCTGCTGGGACCGGTAAGCTGTCATTCCTGGTTATGGCCGCGCCATGTTCCACTGGATGTGGGCGCCGTTTCTTTATCCCGTCGTCTGTCCAGGGCACTTGGTCGGGCTGCATCCATGCCCTGGCTGGGGTAAAATGGTGCTTCAGTAAACACAGGGTGCACTTATCTTTTTAAATTCGCGTTTTGGGTTTCTTCAGATAAACACCCAGAAGTGGAATTGCTCGGTCATAAGGTAGTTCTATTTAGGAACCTCCATATCATTTTTTAAATTTTTTTATTGCGGACAATATTACATATGTCTCCTCCCCCCCTTGACCTCTCAGAGCCGCTCCCATGTCCCCGCCCCCTACTGTCTGTGTCCATTGGTCATGCTTCTGTGCACGCATACAAGTCCTTTGATTGACCTCTTAAGAGAGTAGACCTTTATACTCTCATCACAGGGTCAAATACTGCAACTCTGTGAGGTAGTGGATAGTAACTAAAGTTGGCCATCACTATGCGATATGTAAACACATCAGATCATTACGCTGTAACTTACACGAATACAACACTCCATGTCAATTATAGGTCAAAACTCGGGGGGGAAGAAAATTAATACAGGTCATTTTATTTTCAATCTAAGAACTTGGAGACTTTAGTATTTCATTCTGCTGATACCATTCACTCCCAGGCAGATAGACAAACTGACAAACAGATAGACAGATGCATGCTTTACAGACCTAATTCTTGGTACAGTAGTATTAGCGACCACACTCGCTAATATTAGAGACTGTGAGACCCACCGGTTCACAGAACGCGCTACTTGTAAGCATGTAGAAGTGAAAATGCAAGTGTAGAGAGCCGAGTATACGTAGATTATAAACATCTGTACCACATGCGAGAAGATGTGATGGGAGGCGATGTAACAGCATGTTTCTTTCAACTGTGGTGCGACTATGACATTAGATGATGCGTCAGGGTCACCCCAGCGTTAGCATAACCACAGGTGTGCAGGAATGAAAGAGACGGGGTGGCCCCTGACAGGATCAGCTCACAGCCTACTCATGTGCTAGGAGACGCAGTGTCATTTCAAAGTCACGGAACCAGAAACTGCGTTTCCTCTTGGCGCACGTCTGGGCTCCGGGAGTCTGTCCGAGCGGGTGTGCGAGTCCCGGGCAGTGCAGTGCGTGCAGCGCCGCTCACCATGCAATTCCCTTTGCTCCTGAGATGAATGGGCGTTCAGTGGACTCGGTTATAGGGACACGCTTCGTTTTCAAATCCGGGAGTTGTGCAAAGATGTGATATTTATGGAAAGCCTCCTGACACTTCCTCTCCAGGCGCTGCCGCTGCTGCAGCCAAGTGTCTTCAAATGCCAAGTGCCAAAAGCAAAAGCCATTAAGATAAACATCTCAGAGAGTTGAAAAGTACATTAACCCTTTGTTTTTCAGAAGAAAATAAGACTGATTTCCAACACACAGCAAGAATGTTGTTAGACATCCCTTGTGGCTGCCTCACAGGGAAGGAACCGGTCATCCGAATGTCTGTGAAGAACTTGGGAAGTTCACCCCGACCCAGAGCCTGTCCAGGGAGAATCCGTGGGACAGCACAGGGGGCGGCGGCGGCGGCGGCGTGGGGGCCGGGCGCTAGGCTGACCGGTCGCTTAGGAAGGCACGGAAGAGCCTAGCCGCTGTGCTGCAGGACGTCATGTTGAGTGCCGACTGGAACTGGAAAAAATGTTCAGTTACAAAACCATGAACCCCTAGGAAAGTGTGCACACATGTGCACTCAAACTAACTCCCCACTTCACACCATCGATGCAGATCAATTGCATCAGGATCGAAGGCCCATTTTTCAATCACAGCCTTTTTAAGAGACAAAAAAGCAAACACCACACACACACACACACACCACAAAGAGGGTGCACTTGGCCACACCTGTGGGAGCTGTGAGCTCGCACCTCCCAGGCCTCAGGGCAGGGAGTGGAATTCACCCAGGCCCTACCCTCTGGGCTCCAAACCCACCGCCAGTGGCACTGGGCGCACTTCCCAGGCGCTGCTCCTGCCCTGCGGCAGAGGCCAGGAGGGACACGGAGGCCCCTGCTCAGCTGGCTCCACGCCTGGGTAGCACTCAGCTGTTTGCTTTTTATTTTTATTGATTTTTATTGATTTTGTTATATTTTATTGATTTTGTTATATTTTTATTGATTGTTTGCAGAGAGGAAGGGAGAGGGATAGAGAGTTAGAAACATCCATCAGCTGCCTCCTGCACACCCGCTACTGGGGACCGAGCCCGCAACCAAGGTACATGCCCCTGACCGGAATCCAACTGGGACCCTGCAGTTCTCGGCCGATGCTCTATCCACTGAGCAAAACCAGTTAGGGCAATTTTTTTTTAATCCTCTCTGGAGGATATTTTCCCACTGATTTTCCACTGAGAGAGTGGAAGAGAGAGGGAAAGACAGAGAGAAATATCGATGTGAGAGAAACACACTGATTGGTCGCCTCTTGCGCGAGCCCTGACCAGGGCCGGGGCTGGAGAGGAGCCTGCAACCAAGATACGTGCCCTTGACCGGAATTGAACCCGGGACCCTTCAGTCCGTAGGCTGGCACTCTATCCACTGAACCACACCGGCTAGGACATTTTTGTAACAAGGAGCCCTACATAATCATCTCACCCTGGGCCCCACAAATACACACGTGCACACACATGCACACGTTTATTTTACGGAATTGGCTCACCCTATTGGCAAGTCGGAAGTCCGCAGCGGGCTGGAAAGCCCAGGGAGAACGGAATCCGCGGTCTCGAGCCCTCCTCCCTCGCGGACCTCCTCTCCGCCCGCCCGCCTTCGCCTGATGGGGTGCGGCCCACCCCCCGTGGAGGAGCCGCTGCTCCACTCCATCTACTGATTTAAATGTTACCCACGCCCACAGACACTTCAGAAACATCTGGACTGGTGTCTGCTCAAACGTCTGGGCACCGTGGCCTAGCCACGTGGGCACACAAAATTCACCGCCCGTCATTGTTCGCCTCACCCTTTGAAAGTAACCGCCCCCTGGCAGGAACTCTTGTCTGCTCGATCCACCGTCCCAGCCCACGGGACAGAGTCCGGCACGTGGGAGGCATGTGTTCACTGTGTGTGGACTCACTAAATCAGGGTGTGCATGGACGGGGAAGTCACTCGACGAGGTGGTCAGGGAAGGCCTCCCTGAGGAGGCCGTGTTTGCACGGAGACCCAGCACTGAGACGGTTAAGCCAGGAGAGCCGTGTGGGAGCCACGGGACCCTCAGGGCTGGAGCAGGGAGTGGGCTGGAGCACCGGCCACGGGTCCCAGCGATGAGAGGGGACGCTGAGAGCGCAGCAGCCGGCCCGGACGCTGTGGCCAGGGCTCGCTGGCACAGATTCTCCTTCTGCCAAAGACAGTGCGAGTCACGTTCCTGCAGAACCAGCCTTACCTCCCCTCCTGCGTCTTGTGCGACCAGTGGCATCTGTCCTCCCCGTAGCCCCGCTGCGCAGCCACGGCCACGCACTCCAAGTTCTGCAGAAAAGGGGAAGCCATCGCTTCTTACAGCTCCAGTGAGACGATGCGTAAGTGCGGGCGGTGTACATAACTACACGTAGTGCTGCTGTGTGGAAAGGTACGAGATTAGGAACTTTCCATCATAAAAGTCCTCATCACAAGGAGAAAATGTTTCGTTTCCGTTTCATCTTTCTTCCCTGTTTATTGTCCTCCACGAGGAGATGGGTGTTGGCGGACCCTGCGTGGCAGCCCCGTCACAACACACTGTGTGTAATCAGACCGCCACGCGGTGCGCCTCAGCCTGTCGGTTATGTCTCAAAACTGGCGATTAAAGTGAAAAAAGGAGAGAAAACCAGGTGGAAGAGTGGTTACAAGATTTGGAGGATGAAGTCAGGGTTTCGAATACAGGTCCTCGGAATGTCACAAGGGAAGTATCCTACATAATAAAAGGCCAGCGACCATGAGCGTAACGACCGGAAGGACCGCTCGACCAGTCACCATGAGGCCCATTGACCACCTCTCAGGCCCTCTACCCCTCCCCCCGCCCCCCACCCGCAGGCTCTGATCGCAGCATGGCAAATGGGGAACCACAGCGAACCGAGGTGAGTGGCAGTGCGGCGGGACTGGCGAGCAGGCGGAACAGCTGACCTCTTGGTCCCTCTCCACCCAGGGAACCACGGCGAACTGGGGGTGGCAGTGGGGCAGGACTGGGGACTGGCAAGCGGGCAGAAGATGGCCCTGGTCACAGCCTAGGCCTGGGACCCTACCCGCACACAATTTCGTGCACCGGGCCTCTGGTTGGAATGTAAAATGGGTGAGGACTTCCTAGGGTCTTAGTGTCTTAAATACGACATTGAAAGCACAAGCAACCCGCCCAGCTGGCATGGCTCGGTGGTTGAGCATCGATCTATGAACTAGCAATCCCCCTCAAAAAAATAAAGAAACAGATAACTCTGACTAGGATTCTGCCATTGCTCTGAGAACACAACACACTCAGACCCAGCCAGCGTGGCCTAGTGGTTGAGCATCAACCCATGAACCAAGGGCCCCTAATTCAATTCCCGGTCAGGGCACATGCCCCGGTTTCTGGCTCTATCCGCAGTGGGGCATGCAGGAGACAGCCAAATGATAGCTCTCTCTCTTTCATCATTGATGTTTCTCTCTCTCTATCCTTCTCCCTTCCTAAAATAAAAACATATTTTTAAAAAATAAAAAAGAAAGTGCATGACCTAGTGAGTTTGGCTCAGTGGATAGAGTGTCGGCCTGTGGACTAGAGGGTCCTGGGTTCGATTCCCAGTCAGGGCACATGCCCAGGTCGCGGGATCGATCCCCAGTGTGGGGCGTGCAGGAGGCAGCTGGTCAATGATTCTCTCTCATCACTGACATTTCTCTCTCTCCCTCTCTCTATTCAAAAAAAATTAATAAAATACCCTTTAAAAACGTTTTTTTAAAAGAGGAATATGTGAGGGAGGAACCAGCAAGAACATCGAACCGGGCTCTGTATTTTTCCTCTGAGTCTGGGGTTCTGTAACCCCCTCTTTCTCGGGGATCATGAGCGAAGCTGGCGTACATCGCTTCCCGTGTCTCCCGGGACTGCGGGACCACACAGACGGCGGGCGTGTGCGGGGGGAACAGCACGGCACGCGGATGTGGGGGAGCTCATCCGGGCCTCCATCTGTCTGTCGGACGCCTGAGCCGTCAGCACCTCTGACTGGCTGCACTCAGCACATGTGACCGAGCCACCGACGTTAATGTCAAACAGGAATCGTTTTGACTTTTAAGCATTTAGCCTTTTCATTGAGATTCACATTTTGAAATCTAAATTAACTGTAGAAATGTACCCAGATATCAAACTGGGGATTTTTTTCTCTTTGTCTTCCAATTAGGACAGTTCTTTGATGGAACCCTGATGAGATGTGTTACTGAAGCACAGATTTCCCTAAAGGGCAAGGACAGAGGCGTGTTAACACTAGAGGCTGTCCTTAGGGAGCACACGGCGGGGCGTGGGGAGCAGGGGCTTAAAGGCACAGCCTGTGACCGGCCTCACAAGAGGCCGCGTCCCACCTCCTCCACCCTAACCACCTCCTCAGACTTCCATGGACAGAGGAACCCCACTCCATCAGCAGGAGGAACCCCACCCCATCAGCAGGAGGAACCCCCACCCCATCAGTAGGAGGAACCCCCCATCAGCAGGGGAACCCCCCCATCAGCAGGGGAACCCTCCCATCAGCAGGAGGAACCCCCACCCCATCAGGAGGAGGACCCCCCCATCAGCAGGGGAACCCCCCCATCAGCAGGGGAACCCTCCCATCAGCAGGAGGAACCCCCACCCCATCAGGAGGAGGACCCCCCCATCAGCAGGGGAACCCCCCCATCAGCAGGGGAACCCTCCCATCAGCAGGAGGAACCCCCACCCCATCAGGAGGAGGACCCCCCCATCAGCAGGGGAACCCCCCCATCAGCAGGGGAACCCTCCCATCAGCAGGAGGAACCCCCACCCCATCAGGAGGAGGACCCCCCCATCAGCAGGGGAACCCCCCCATCAGCAGGGGAACCCTCCCATCAGCAGGAGGAACCCCCACCCCATCAGGAGGAGGACCCCCCCATCAGCAGGGGAACCCCCCCATCAGCAGGGGAACCCTCCCATCAGCAGGAGGAACCCCCACCCCATCAGGAGGAGGACCCCCCCATCAGCAGGGGAACCCCCCCATCAGCAGGGGAACCCTCCCATCAGCAGGAGGAACCCCCACCCCATCAGGAGGAGGACCCCCCCATCAGCAGGGGAACCCCCCCATCAGCAGGGGAACCCTCCCATCAGCAGGAGGAACCCCCACCCCATCAGGAGGAGGACCCCCCCATCAGCAGGGGAACCCCCCCATCAGCAGGGGAACCCTCCCATCAGCAGGAGGAACCCCCACCCCATCAGGAGGAGGACCCCCCCATCAGCAGGGGAACCCCCCCATCAGCAGGGGAACCCTCCCATCAGCAGGAGGAACCCCCACCCCATCAGGAGGAGGACCCCCCCATCAGCAGGGGAACCCCCCCATCAGCAGGGGAACCCTCCCATCAGCAGGAGGAACCCCCACCCCATCAGGAGGAGGACCCCCCCATCAGCAGGGGAACCCCCCCATCAGCAGGGGAACCCTCCCATCAGCAGGAGGAACCCCCACCCCATCAGGAGGAGGACCCCCCCATCAGCAGGGGAACCCCCCCATCAGCAGGGGAACCCTCCCATCAGCAGGAGGAACCCCCACCCCATCAGGAGGAGGACCCCCCCATCAGCAGGGGAACCCCCCCATCAGCAGGGGAACCCTCCCATCAGCAGGAGGAACCCCCACCCCATCAGGAGGAGGACCCCCCCATCAGCAGGGGAACCCCCCCATCAGCAGGGGAACCCTCCCATCAGCAGGAGGAACCCCCACCCCATCAGGAGGAGGACCCCCCCATCAGCAGGGGAACCCCCCCATCAGCAGGGGAACCCTCCCATCAGCAGGAGGAACCCCCACCCCATCAGGAGGAGGACCCCCCCATCAGCAGGGGAACCCCCCCATCAGCAGGGGAACCCTCCCATCAGCAGGAGGAACCCCCACCCCATCAGGAGGAGGACCCCCCCATCAGCAGGGGAACCCCCCCATCAGCAGGGGAACCCTCCCGCCTCTCCCGCGGACGCTCCTGGAAGAGCCGCCTCCGTGTGTTGCTGCGATGCCCCCCCTCCCCGTGCCCGACGTGCACAGCACCAGGCCCAGAGGGACGCAGGCCCCAGGTGCCCTCTGGTCCTCTCCGCTGCCCGGGTGGGAACACGGTCACAAGAGGCAGAGACCTGTGGTACCCACGGGCAGATCCCGGTACCCATAGCCTACTCCTGGCTCCTCGCCCGGAGAACCCAACTTTGTCGGGGAAGGTGTCGTGCCAGCGCCAAGCACTGGGTCAGCATTGGTTTAGCCAGTCATTAGCATCTTTTTTAAAAAAGATTTTTGAGAGAAAGAGGCAAGGAGAGGGGGAGAGAGAGCGAGAGCGAGAGCGAGAGAGAGAGAGACATGGATGTGAGAGTGAAACATCCATTGCTGCCTCCTGCACGCCCCCTACTGGGATCAAGCCTGCAAAGGGGGCATGTGCCCTGAACGGAATCGAATCCGGGACCCCTGGGTGTGGGGGAGGACACCCAACCACTGTGCCACCGCGGCCAGGCTACCATCTTGTCCTTGGGTCCCCAGGTCCTTGCGTCTGTGCAGGGGACGCAGTTCCCACAGCATATCTAACAGGACGACCAGGCCTCCAGGGTGGCGCCTGCCCCGTGTGTCAGCTCCGGTGCCCCCCCCCCACGCATGTAGATGTGATATTTGAGGGGTGACACCATCTTGAGTTGGGGCGTGGAGGCAGAAAGAACAGATGCCAACCCAGACGCCCTCAGGGCCAGGCTCCTGCCAGGAGCCACCTCCCCTCGAGCGTCTTGCTGTGCGAGAAAATGAAGCTTCTGTGCGGCCACGGAACGTCTTCCTCGCGGTCCCTGCGTGAGCCTGAAGATACGTGTAAATACACGCGGACGACACACACACACACGCAGGGGGCAGCGTGGCTGGATAGCTAAGCAGCCGCACACCTGCTTCCGGTGGCCTGGGAGCTCCCAGCCGTCCGCTCAGGCCGCCCTGGGTGCTGACTCATCAGCCACTAAGACGGGTGCTCGAGCGTGGCCCGGGCGGGCGGGTGTGCTGGAGAAGTGCTGCTTGAGTGAGGCGCTGGGCAGGGCTGCGGGAGCCAGGCACTGAACGTCCCGGCTTCGCTGTCCCAGGGTCGCCCCTCCGGGCACAGAGCCCGGGCAGCCCCGAGGCCAGCCCCTGCAGTCAGGTGAGAGGCTTCCCACAGCCCTGACCGTCCAGGGGAAGCCCGAGCTGACCCCAAGCATCTCCCACGGTAATGCAGTTCCATCAGAACTCCAGCGACCTGCTTTTAAATAGGTTTGTATTGGTTTCAGAGAGCAAGGGAGAGGGCGAGGGAGACAGAAACATCCATGATGAGAGAGAATCATGGACCAGCTGCCT